GGGGGGGGGCAAAAAATAGCCCCCCCCCCCCACCAGGTCGCGTTATAAACAGACCCCACCAGGGCGCGGGTTAAAGGGTCAATGCCGTATAGAAATATACAAACAATGATGTTGAAATCATTCGATTAACTAATTATATCTGATATTGCATAATAAAACATTTATGGAGAAACACAGGCTCCAGGGCTCTTACAAAATTTCGTCAAACAGACGACGCTAATAAAGCGCATTGTTTAAAGTCAAATGCCAGTCCAGTGCAGAGTATGTCCAGTGATCATAATACGACCGCACGTCATATGAAGCCTAACCATTGCATATGTATATGTATAAAGAAATAAGCAACCGACCATTAGCTTTAGCGGTTGGCCCCTTCTTACTCGTAGTCCTGATTGCGCCTTTCAGTGGCCAGCATGCGTACAATTGGGATGGTTGGGGCAGGTTAGGGCCTCAGGCATGTCTAAGTCGTTCATACAATTTGCACATTGGGCAGCCTTATACTGAATGTCAATAACGTCGCTCCTAGAACAAGAATGTGAGCTCTAACAAGCGTTAAAATTTGTAAGAAGGTGTCCCTGCGATGTAAATGTAAACGGCGTCGGGCACTGGCGTCACGGCCCGACCCGGCCCTCCCGGCCCCGAGAGCGGCGTGTCGCCGAGGCCGGTCCTATCCTCACCTCTGTCCTGTTAGTCCGCGTGACCCCGTGAACCCGGCCTCTGTGACCGAGCAGCAGTGTGCCATCATCGCTGCGACTCGGAGTGCTCATCCCAGCACGACCGGCGCGTGAATCTACCTCTACCACAGTCGCGATCGGAGGCCCGGCAGTGTCCGGCCCGGCTCTGTCAGTGTGCCATGACCGTGACCGTGACCGGTCTGGGTCAGGGGCCTCTCGATCCGTCCCCGCTGACATCAGGGGCGCTAACTGGCCGGGCCGGTGACAGCGGCGCCGGATGGGCGGCGCCTCTCAGTGCAGCCGGCGACTCCTTAGCGGGCGCCGGCGCCCGCGGCCGTCACTCAGGGGCGCCGCACCTGTGCCGATCTCGGGGCGCCGTGCGGTCAGGGCTGACCGGTGCTGCCTGGTTGACCGCGCGGGGGCACCCATGGGGCGGCGCCGCGCCGAGGGGCCAACGAGACACGACGGAGCGCCGTGAGGAGGCGTGGGACCGAATGGGGCTGAGTGGACGGGCTTTGTGAGTGGATTGCAGGGAACCATAGTGGGTCAACGGGCGCTGTGTCGCGTATATCTACCAGCAGGGTTCCTTTAACGAGCAATACATTGGCACGTGCCCCAGTTCTCATGCTTATCTTGGGGATCGATTTCCTACATCATGAAGCCCTTCATGGCATTATCATAAAAACTAGTTTCTTTTGATTGGATCGCAAAAGCCGAGATTCATTCTATAACTAGGACATGGGTCAAAATACCGAGCGAGAGGATGGTCAGCCGAGCCAGGTGGTGACATGTTGGTGCGACCTGACGCTACTGAACGCCTCGGTGCAGTGGTTGTGACTTGTGAGCGGTCCCCAAACCGGCTCGCTCCCGTCCGTGTCCGCGCCGTATCTGTTTTTTCGTCTTCTCAGTAATGATCGGTGCAGCTCGTGTGCCGCCTGCCTGCTCCGCTCAACGCCGAGCTGGCAGGACTGGCTGACGGTGGACGACGGTGTAGAAGGCAGTAGGCACAGAACACCACATCGGTAGGTATGATATCGGGTAAACTCCCTTCCATTCCACATCATTTCAATGTGTGCGGTAGAGCGCTGCAACACAGTAACAACTGATGATTAAAAATTGAACATAAATCACAAAAGATGAGCTTTAATGCAAAAGTGTGCACAAGCAGATTGTGGTTTAATTAAGGTAACAAATGCGGTACAACGATCGGACTTGGCCTCCTATCAGTACCGACGGCGTGCGGGCGCCTAACTGGTAGACTGTGCCGCAGGTAACTGAATAACCGGGCTGGAACAGTGGCGACACGAGGCTTTATCAGAGCTATTGGCACCGGTTCCTTTAAAGGGAGATTATGACCTTTTTCCACAAAATCTGAGTTAGGACCATTTTCTGACAAAACACAACAAGTTATAATGTAAATTAAAACCATTTTGCTCAATTCGGTACCTTGCCGCAAATATCTCAACTTGAAGTCACGTTAGCGGGGAGCGCTGAAAATGACCGTTGAATAAGTACTTACATCACTTTTTGGTACTTGCATGTAATTTTGTAAAATGAGCGTATTCCTCACATTTGATCTTCATCACATCTAGTTAGTTAATGGTCGTCTATAGTGCCTTCAAAAGATATTAATGGTTTGGGGGTGGTTTATGTCTAAATTTACGCAACTATTTTTCCTGTTCATCATCTGTCGCCATATGCTGCTATTTTAGTAGCAACGACTCAATTTTGAATCGGTCCCGCCGACTGCACAATAAAAGAAGATAGATACAACACTTTTGCGGCATCACTGAAAAACTTATGCTGTACTGTTATCAAAATTCTCATAACACCGTTCGACAAACCTGAAGTATTTTTGAAATAAATATGCTTGTATTTTTCGCTTCAGGCTCTGAGGCCAAAATAATGAATTTCGTAGTCGCAATCGCAAGATTTGGCTGCGTTTCTGGCGCATGCCGTTCATTTGTGGCGCTTGGAAACAAAGAAGAGTAGGCACTATGTACCCCCGAATTAGAATCTAATTAATTCTAAACCGAATTAACTCTAATTCAAATTAGAATCCTTACAACCAAGCAACGACAAGGCGATAACATAAACAAAAACCCAAGCGTCGCTGTTTGAAACAAAAGCGCCATATACTGCGACTTTTTTATAGAGAAGGACAACGCATTTCAGTGGGTGTTACAAGTACTGCAAGTACTGCTTCTTTTTTGCAAAAATAAAAACCTTTTTCACATACGAAAATGTGCTGGGAAATTTTCATATTTTATAGAAACTACAGTAGAAATAGTATAGATGTCGAGTAATTTTTATTTAAGAAACAAGAAAGCTCATTATCTCCCTTTAATACATGTTTTCTTATAAGTGCTTTGGTGTTAGACTGTGCCCCAGAGGCTTATCGGACGAGTACCTTCATGGTATCGAGCCGTGCCACAGACTACATACGGGGCGTTATGTGTATGTACCGGGTGGCCCAAAAAAAAAACGTTCCGAACTTTGGAGGCCTATATCTCAAATTTGAGTGCAAATAACGAGCCAAAATTTTCATCAAGTTTGCGTCACTTCTTTGCGCATTGGTATGCCAAATTATAACACTGTACCATCATTTTCAAGCCAGCAATCTTATGTTGAATCAAGTAAGACGTTTTTGCTTTTTTTGCCGTTGTTGAACGGAAGTAATGATTGGCTTAGACGTACCCTGTTAAAAAAAAATACAAAAAATATAAATAGAACGGCTTGAATGATACCAGCACGTTTGTTGCTATTTTATATATTTTTGTCACACTTATGTGCCAAATATTCAAATACTAAGCCAAAGTTGTGTTAATGGATGCCATTCGTTTCACCACAAGTCCTGTTTCGAGGCGAAGGAGTGGCACGGTGCATGGGTTACTGCTGATCGCCCTCCTTCAAGAAGATCAAATAGTAAATCGACCGAATAAGGAAAAAAGCTAGAGGGAATGTGTTACCCTGAGGCCTGAACCACCAATGAGACTAGTTGCCAGTAGCAGTCATGGCTGTAGGCCGTGGTGCCGAGATGGAAGTGGCCCATTCACTCACATTTTTGGTAAACATCAGAGCAAAAAAGTGATTTTTACATGGCATGCTAGAAACACGAACCATTTAAAAAGTAATTGACCGAATAACATAAAAATCATACCATTCACTGCAAATATATTTCGCATTGCCTATTGGAAGTTTCAATGTTGCATCTTTATCACTTTCTGAGAAATATTGATTTAAAATTGGGAACGTTTTTTCTGGGCCACCCGGTATGTACATGCATGGAACGGGCGTCTATGGATACAAACGCTGTACCTTTACATCTTGAAGTCTGAAGATGGGACTGGCCCTAAACTGTTTTCTGGCTTTCTTTTGGATTAGTTTAGGCAGTCTATGTTCAGGCGTAAGTCCAGGTTTATCTTTATGAGACACGATCGTATTTCACTTATTTCTATTTTTATCAAATAGATGCTCAGTCGATTATCCCAAGCGGCTCACATTATAAGATAAGTTTGATTTCATGTCTTTTTAGGCTGAGGCCCAAACATATATCCTACCAATAAAACAATGCCGCATCGTAAAATCAGCAAACCTGTCGTCTTGTAGCCACACAGTCTCGTTTATTGCACAACAAAGAAAACGTAGGCGTGGAAACTGCCACGCCTCTGCAAAACAAACATTGTCAACCAACAGGACTGGTTTCTTATCTTGCATTTTCGAACTCGTCTCCAGAAGTGACCACGTTTCGGATTGGTGGATGCGTTGGGTGTGCCTCTAGTCTGTTCATATAAAACGAGATGGGAAGAGAAACGCATCATCGTGAAGGCAAGCGCATCGCAACAAGCAAGATGAAGTGCGTGGTAAGTACAGCCAACATCGGCTTCTTTACTCTTCGTCTCACCTCAGTCTAAAAAATTTCAACAGCAATTATAGTTTTGATTGCAGAAGCTGCATCGCATAAGGAAGGTAAAAACATTATAAATGTAAGAGTGCTCCTTCAATTTGCTTCCCGTGAGGTAGGTCAATGGCCAATGTCAATGCATTTCACTCATTTTGACGCATCCGTTCGTTTCCTCTTTCCAGGTTCTGTTGCTAGCTGTGGTTTCGTGCGCTTCGGCGTACGTTATCCTCAACCCATACTCCTACTACAGCGGCGTCAGCCCCTACATCTGGGTAAGCATGTCGCATCCAGCCTATAAAAGTACCTACTCGCATATTATTTATTGTGTCATGGGGATCTTTACGGCGCTTCATAGCCGTAGTTCTACTGCTATCACAAAAGAGGATAATAGGGTAATAGTGTTGCACACAATTATTGATAAACATTCAATGAATAAACTTTTTAAGCTGCGTGCTGCAGAATACTAATATTGAGGGGACTTGCACGTTTTCATGGTTCATATACCAAATGTCAGACGTTAGTAAATAAAAGACATTCATTGCATCCAGAGACAAGGCTTATTTAAAGACTAATCTATCTTTCACTTTCAGAGGAAGAAGCGGTCTGCCCCTGAGGCCCCGGCCGAAGACCAGCAGGCTGATCCCGCTCTGTTCTACAAGAGATACGTTGGCTACCCCTACTCTTCGTACATCCACTACCTGAAGAAGCGCGAGGCCCCGGCCGAAGACCAGCAGGCTGATCCTGCTCTGTTCTACAAGAGCTACGTTGGCTACCCCTACTCTTCGTACGTTCATTACCTGAAGAAGCGTGAGGCCCCGGCTGAAGACCAGCAGGCCGATGCAGCCATGTTCTACAGGTCGTACCGCTACCCGGCCTTCGGCTACACCTACCCCGGGGTGCGCATTCTGAAGAAGCGCGCTGCTGATCCCGAGAAGGAGGAGGAGGATGAGAAGAAGAAGGTCGTCTACATCAACGCCATGCCATACAGCTCTCTCGGCTACCCGTTCTACAGCTACGCTCCTTACATCTACAAGAAGTAATCGACAATCACAGGCAGCACCGATCATTGCACGAGCCCATGCCGACAAATGCTGACTTCTTCCGATTGAATTCTGGTCCGAAAGTTGTACGTCATACTGTATGTGGATGTCCATCGGACACAGGATCGTATGATGGTGATGGTGACGGCAACAGCAATACATAATTGCAAGCAAACGTACCTTTTATTCGGCTTCATAGCAGCAGCATATTAGTATTCTGAACTCCGATAGACAATAGCCGATAGACAATAGTGTTTTAATCGATCATACTATCTGATAATATGACAAAGGAGGCATATAAGCAATTAGCGCAACACTAGCTGATAGCTTCTTAGAGATACACTGAACCTAATTTGACCAAATCTGCACCTAATCTGCACCAAATGTGCACTAAATGTGTACCAGATGGCCGTCGTGAAAACGGCTAATAGCCGTTTTCGCCGGATACCCCGTCGTGAAAACGGCTACTATATATCAGTGTTTTGGCTTGTTCACAATTTGGGCTTTGGCCACCGGTTACCAAGTCAAATCAGGCTCATTTTTGTTCATTCTCTCTGGAATAGATGCTTTACATACCCGAGGGTACCAAACTCGTACTTCGATTTTTTCAGATCTAAGGCTTGGGGTTGTCCTGGTCACGGAAATTTTATATCATGCATCGGTCACGTGACACATGTTTTATGGTTCACTTAGGCAATCAACTTCAATATTGGTGTCGCCTGTGTCATTTGAGGCTATTTTCAGCTGAATATGCATAGCTACGGTCAAGTGACGGTCAGGTAAAAATGGTCAAATTTTTAAGCTGAAAATTTTTCAACAAACAAAAAAATGTGTATCACATGCAGCTTGTACTCAGGAACGCTATGGTGTAATTTGTTTTGGTGTACGATGCCGAAACCGCACTGAAAAAGTGGATTTGGAATTTGTCATAAAGGGGAAATACCTATTAACTATACACACAGAAAAATATTAACACCGTTAGCGGTGTAATTGCACAGTACATATCTGAGCACTTGAGGAAAGTTAATTTAGTCCCTTCCCCGCTTAAATTACTCGCGCTTCTAAATGAACACCAGGAAGAAGGTAATAGAACACTGTTAGGAGGGTTGGGTGTTTTGCTACATGTAGTAAAACACCCAACCCTCCTAACAGTGTTCTATTACCTTCTTCCTGGTGTTCATTTAGAAGCGCGAGTAATTTAAGCGGGGAATGGACTAAATTAACTTTCCTCAAGTGCTCAGATATGTACTGTGCAATTACACCGCTAACGGTGTCAATATTTTTATGTGTGTACAAAGCGTATAACTTAGCTATTTTTGAAGATATCGGGGTAAAACTTCCTGTCAGTAGATTATCGGTATGTGTTCATCCATAGACCATGGGTATATAGTGGTCTATGGTTCATCACATATCTTCCGTTTTTTTTTTCTTCGAAGATTCAAACACTTACCCCGCGTTCTGAGTCTCTCGGACGACGAAGATTCTACGTCATCCGGCCAATCCCGTTCCATAACCACATCCAAGATTCTTCAAGTCTCAAGATAACTGCAGCTGACATTGAACGGGATTGGCCGAACGACGTAGAATCTTCGTCGTCCGAGAGACTCCGAGCGCGGGGTTAGAGGGGAAAAAATAAAAATGTACTTTTTTAGTTCTTTTATTTATAAGTTTCAAAATTTTCAAAACTTAATGACTTCGTGACGGCAGCTTCATAGCACTGTGTATTCGGAATCCTCTCATGACAAGAAATTAGATCTAGCGTAAAAACTGAGTTCTTGAGAGCGATTGCCGTAGTTCAATGTTTCACATCAAAATCGGCCAAACCTGACATAACTCTGACATCATTTCCAGCCGACGTTTGGTAGCTACGAAGTTTTCATTGAGACAAAAGGTGTGGAATGGATCCAGCCAAAGGTACTGCAAGTTTCTTTCGTGTTGATACGTGCAGGGGCTTAGAAGATATTGGAGAAAAACGGGAGTTGGGCTTTGGATAGTCCCCCCTTTCCCAGTGGGCGCAGGTCAAGAGCAAAAGAACTTTGCTGACAATATTTTCGTACCTACGGATATTCATTATACCCATAATGGTCAGGAAAAGCACTGTTTGTGGCTATCACGATACGATCGTGACATATTTAAAGGGAGTGTGCCACCTTCCAATGATTTCCCATTTTATTTTTCCTAGGATAAGAAGCTTCTGTTTTTACCTAATATCGCAAAAAAAAAATCAAAAATGGGCCTGGAATAGTGCTTCTTTCGCCTAAAAGTTCATCGGTTTTTCGATATGTATAACAACAGTAGTGGGCTGACCTGCAAACAGGCGTCGGCAACAATCGCGAATGCGGCGCACATGTGACAATAAGCAAAGGTCATTATAGAGTTACGACGTACGGGAATGAGTTATCAGCTGTCTTATCGTAGACAACACAATGTCGAACTTAAACTGTAAGCCTGCATTGGTATTGTTTCTTTAATTTGGCTGTCGAACATTAATCTATGGTTTGAAATATGATTTTATGTAAAATAATTTACATGAAACAGCCGTCTCTTACAGGGTGGGGCAGCATAATCGGGAATGCTTTTTGGTCTCTGATCATGAGTAGGCATGGCATTATTTTTATAAATTATATTATGGCAATGAAACGCCCAAAAGTTGTGCATCATCTGACATGACTACATCCATGAGCATGCAACTTCCTGGAAAAGAGCAGCAAAATAGTTCGACGGTGCTCCAAGTGCTTTGCGCGCGCCCATAGACACTAATGTTAAACAAGTAAAACAAGAACATTTTGTTTAAAACCCTGCAATTCCACGTAAAGGTTGCTGGGCAGGTCAACGTGTTATCACGGACGATAAGGATTGTGTGGGGATACTTAGGACAACAGGTTAACGTAATCGTCGTAAAATAACTCTTAGCAGAGGACATACAAGATGACTCACTTGAATATAAGGAAGAAGCACTTGAGCATATTAAAAAGAAACAATGTTCAAAACTTCAGCGACAAAAAATCTTATCACCGACTGGAATACGATAAAAAAGAATGGCATGCCATATAGGGGATTGTATCGAGAATATTCCAGCGGTCATGCAAAGTAAACATCCTGTTGGGGTGATGGACCTATGGGTGGTCTTCAAGGGAGGTGCACGTGGTGCACCCTACTTCATCGAGCCCGGATAAAATGAGCACCTCTGGTAAATACAACCGCACTCTGGCAGACTCACGTGGAGCCGTCGGAAGAGAGGATCACTGACGGTCCAAATCACGTCTTACGAGGACTCTGTCCGTGCTGGTACTGCAGTGAGGACGACATGTTATTGTGTAGGGCACCTCCACCTGAGATGAACCAAAAACTTCTGGTCCTTCAACTCCGCCGATTTAAATCCGACCAAATTCTTTACATGGAGCGTTTTTTGGTAGAAGTTTAATGAACAACTTATCATTAGTAAAAACAGTCTTCAGTGCAAGGTACGAAGCTGATGGGCGATCATGGACAAGCAGGAGGTTGCACGTGCATGCGCGTGCTTTTGGACCCGCCTTGAGAAGGTCATCGACGCCGAGGGCGGTCAAATAGGATGAGGGATAGGTAAAAGGTGACCGATTGATAGGATGTTGCTAAAATAGTGCTTGGAGCTATATTTTTAGATTCATGACCAAATAATCCCGTTTGATATTTATTCCCGATTATGCTGCCCCACCCTGTAAGTTATGACCTCATCTCACCACACGAAAGTGGCAGAAATGACAATGATCAGCTGACGCATTTTTCTTGGCCGAAGTCAGAGCGCGCGGCCCGACGCACCACCACCGCACCACAAAGTACGAGCAGAAGCCACCTAACAGGCGTGTTCGAAACCGCAGGAGATGATGATGAACGGGTTTATCGAAACTTGATTGGATGAGCCTATCGGTAATAGCGATTTTAGTGTGTGCACTGTGCATTTATTGTTCATAACTTCATAGTGGTGTGAAATGTGGTTGGGGTACGACCGACAACCCGTCGGGCAAATTTCGCACTGGGGTACTCAAAATTTGAAGAATTTAAGACGTTTCCATGAGTTTTGAAGGTATGGATAAGTTCTAAAAATTCGGTTCTCATTATCCGGGTCATTAACTCCATATGGCCCAGGAAAGCTGGCACACTACCTTTAATGATCGTTGACGGGAAGGGAATATGTAATGAAATATAACTGAACTTCTCGCGAGTACCACTATCAAAATATAAAAAAAATTGCAGAAAATGAACACGACTTCACGTTGTGTCAGTTGGTCATGCAGATCATCAAGGGCCTTCGAGCTATTTTTGTTGAAAATCATATGACATGCATGCACGTCGTAGGCTACTGCAGTAAGACAAGGGCCGTGCACTGTATACTTACAGAGTAGGTACACTGGTCATTTCATAGGTAAGTTCGCCAGAGCTCATCAAGTGTCAAATGCTCTCTATATCGACATTTTTGTCTGTGATGACTCACAACTTATTAACAGCTGTAACATCGAGAAATCAACTGCTGATTGCTTCTTAGCCCAACGGTTGTTTTCAACAGCTAAAACACTATTTGTTACAATTGTTTCTTTGGAAAAATTGATGCTTTTTCGAAAGTTACTCAACCCAGCAGCTGAGAAGACCTTGAAGTTGAATCTTGAGGTCACAGGTAGGGTCAAGGTCAGGTGGAGCATCCGAAATTGGACTTTCAGCATTATGGGCTTTAGGACCTCGTGCTGACTGCTCGGCATCTCTCGTCATTAACTCTATCAAAATCGTGCGGAATCCTTCATCACAGTGCTACTCGAGTGTCAGGCTCATCTAAAATCAACTAAGCGTATGTCAGGTAAAACAGGTAAGGGATCTTTCCCCGTAAAGACATCATCCGTTCCTTCTTATAACTGCCCTATTATAAAACCGAAGAATATGTTTGCTTGCAATTATGTATTGCCGTCACCATCACCATCATACGATCCTGTGTCCGATGGACATCCACATACAGTATGACGTACAACTTTCGGATCAGAATTCAATCGGAAGAAGTCAGCATCTGTAGGTATGGGTTCGCGCAATGATCGGTGCTACTTGTGATCGTCGATTACTTCTTGTAGATGTAGGGAGCGTAGCTGTAGAACGGGTAGCCGAGAGAGCTGTAGGGCATGGCGTTGATGTAGACGACCTTCTTCTTCTCAT